GGCCCTTTCCTCCAATGAAATTTTTATTTGGGTGATCTTTTTATTTTCTTTCCCTTTTGTAATTTTTATTCTCTTAAAAAAATCTACACTATTTTATTTACGAATCAAGTGTATTGCTTGTGGATTGTAGTGGGCAAAGGGCTAGAAATATAGAGAACACAAAATAAAACAAAATTTACAAAGTGCTTAATGCTTAATGTAGAAACAAGTTCAGCGCTGTGTTTCATGCATTGGGATTGAACATCAATCTGTTATGATTTTGTTTGGCTATTCATGAAGATATAACTTAAACGTAGTTTGCCATGTTAAATTTACATTCAACTTTCGTATAGAGAGACGGAGGGAGGAAGGGAAGAAGGGAATGAGTAGTAGAACTCTCTGCTTGTGAAGTGAACTATTACTACATTTTCATCTTCCTAGGAATTGATTTTGGTTGTGTTTGGATTATAAATTTAAATTTGAATTTGAGTAAGAAGTTCAATTTTCAATTAAAGAAAGAAAAAGAAAAAGAAACTATTTCTCCAAATGAAATGGCTATCGAAAACAGATTCAATCACAATGTTGTAAGAAACACACATGAATCAAGACACAACTATATTACTATACTTGTCTACCATTGGGCTACAAATGTTATCAGGTATTTGGTCTAACCAAGAGAGTAAATGATAGCAAGTACCAACCTATATAAAATTTCTTAAGCTTTCAAATTAAAACAAAATAAAATTTTATGTCAATTGAAAACCATTTCTTGACTAGATAGGCTTCATTATAAAAACTAATACTATACAAGTACAAGTACATGAGACCCCATACAAATACAAAGAAAGAAAGATAGAAGGTTGTTTTGTACAAATAAAAACTACATGAGACCCCATACAAATACAAGCACCCCCAAAAGTGATCTCAGGTGTCAACTTCATCTCCTTTGGAGGTAGTATCTTCATTTTTTTTGGCCTATTGGTGTTGTGCCTCAGTTTCTTTCTCCGATCAATGCTATTCCTTGAAGCCTTGAAAACATCTGTGCTCCTCCGAGGCTGCTCAAACTAGTCTACTCCTCCGAGGCTATAATATCAAGAAGCATATAATGATTAGCATGTATTTCAAACATAATATCACTAAAAAATACATTCTTGAAACACGGGAGTAGTTAATCATGAGGAAATTTTGGTTTACCAATATTTTTTTTTCCTAGGAACTACTTACCTTCAGTGTTTGTAGCCAAATTGATTGACTAATTTATGCTTCTGCACTTTGAATTTTGTTATATTAGTTTCTTTTTGCAGAGTTGTAGCTCAAAGAAATGATTTTGTAGGTTAATTGATTTTTCATGGAGCTTGCAATCCCCTATTTCATCCATCCATACATATATACCTGTTGAATTTCATAACAAATGAAAACTCAGAAAACAGAGAAAAGAAAATGAGAGAGAGAGAGAGAGAGAGAGAGAGAGAGAGAGAATCATAGTACAATTTCAACAACCTTGAAAAATCTAGAAATCCCCTAGATGTTGATTTGTGATTATGTATCAATTTTAAGTAGTATATAACAATCCCAATCAAACAATCAAGACAAATCAATACAACGATTTTACGTAGAAAAACCAAAATTGGACACCTCCAATTGTGATAAAAAAATCACGGGCAACAGTCACAAAACAATCCACTAAGAAGATATAAAGGAATTACACAGGTATACTCTCAATTACTTAGCGAATCCACGCCCGAATTGAACCAACCCCTATGTGCCTCTTCCAACCCCGTTTTCACCTCGGAATTGTCTTGACGATGAGCCATTCCAGAATCCACCAAAGCTTCAGGCTCGAATTCTTCAGAATCCACCGAAGAACAACTCTCTCTTTTGTGTAGAACAAACAAATAATCCTTTGATGTATACTCTTTAAACCATGAGTTGAATACTCAATCAAAACATCAAAGAAAACTAGCAAAATATCCCCAGATATAAACCTTAATATCCAAAAAGAAGATCTAGAGGAGTAATCCTAGACTTGGATTGAAACACGTATTTATAGAAAACTGTCCCGCGATCTTCGCTCGAGCATCAAATTGGCCGCTCGAGATCCCCGTCATAGTCAGCGAAGTGGCAGCCTTGAAAGAATTAAACACCACAAACTTCTCTGCAAGGCATGATTCGGGTTTGATTCGCATCTAATAAACTCATAACCTCACTGAAATAAAAGTGCGAAAACAAATACAACTGAAAGGAGTTTTGTCAAACGGGATTGCCAAGAATAAAAACCTAAAAAACCTCCTAGTTCAATTCAACATCGATACTATTTTTACAATCTTACCCCAACATGAAGAAAAAAATTGAAAAGAAAATTTGAAAAACTGATGGGAATCAATTGTCAATTAAAGAGTACATCTTAAGATTATTGTTTAGTTGTGTTGGGTGAAGATTAAAAACAAGAGTAAAAATCCTTTACTTGAGATTTTCTGGACTTTTTGAGGCATCTGTAGTTGGGTCACTGGATGCTTTGATTACTTTAGATTCTAAGGTTTTAGTTTTGGTGGGCGGCATACATACATGGATTTTGGCCACCTTTTTGGCATTGAATTCCTATTTATCAAAAAAAGAAATTCCAATAATAAAATTATTTTTTTCTCATAAAGAAATGAAAATAAATGATACTCCAACAATGAAATTACAACTTAAAAGGGACTGCAGTACTGAAACTATAATAAAACACAGAGATGGAATCTCTAGTTCCAATTAAAAATAGGGGAATCAATTGAAAGAAATTGAAAGAAAATTTCATAAAAAGTATATAGTAAGATCTAAATGATCCAACCTGGTTCAATATGTATGGGCATGTGGTTAGCCACACTTGGTTAGGTCTTCTATATCCCCAAATTAATCTAGTTATCCCTTTATTTTAGAACACTTGCAATCACTAGATCATTGAAAAGAAAAACGGGAATGCAGTGACCACTGGTGGGCTGCTGGTATCCAACATAAAAGAAACAAAGAAAGGGAAGAAAAAGGAAAGAAAAGAGAATGATAATGAAGACAAAATATATATATATATATATATCATTAAGAAAATATCCACAAACGAACCTCGTTGTAGCTGCCTCTCTTCGCCTTGCCACCGCCGCCTCATTACAGAAGTCACGTTGGTCGGTCGCCTCGCCCTCTCTGTTAGTCTCTCAGCGCCTCCCTCACCTCAACACCACCTCTCCTCGCCTAGCCTCCGTCGCCTAGCTGTGGGAACCAGGTCGCCTGCCTCCGTTCGTCATCTCTCTCTCCCTCTGTCACCTTTCTGAATAGGGGTTAGGGTTCAAAAGTTCAAATGAGACTGAAAAGCAAAAGAAGAAAAGCAAAAAAAAGAAAAAAAAAAAAAGTCCAAAGCGATGTTGTTTTGGACAACTGCAGAAGGGCCGCAGGAAAGTGCAACCGATGATCCAGACTCATGCTGGAGAATTCTGCAACAAAGAGGAAGTTTGATCCCGATAAAAAGGTGAATTCTTTGACTTTGCTTTTTCTGCAGTCTTTTGGTGCTTTTATTAGAGATGTTTTGGTCTAGACATAGTAATCAGTACATATTGGATGGGCAATAGTACTTAGACTTTGAATTTGAATATTTGACCAACAACTATGGGGTTTTATTTTGTGCAGCTAATGATTGAGGTTTATTCGTTGCAAGTTCTCTCTCTCTGAAATCTCTCTAAAACCCTAATCTGTTCATTGATCAAATAGTAATTCTTTATTGTGAATTATGAATTGTATCTGTTGACAACAATGAAGATTGTTTTATTTTATTTTTGAAACTAGTATTGGAGGTTCATCCATTTCAATATTGTTACAAAAGTACAGACTTTTTGATTTGGAGCTTATTAGATGGGTGGCCAATTAAGGCCTGTTGAATTGCAACCTCTACTAAAACTGTTTTTATATTTAAGTTTTATTTGTTAGGTTTAGCTCTACTTTTCACTTAAAAAATACTTAGGGGTTATTTGGGGTATCCTAAATAAGTGCATTTTTTGTCTTTTTGGACTAAAAAATTGAGGAAAAAAATATGGATATTTGGGTTAACTTTTTGACTTTTTATGGAGAAATGTGTATTAAAAAATTGTATAAATTAGTGTGTAGAGGAAAATTGGGATTGAGAGTTGTGCAGCCGTAATTTTTGACTTTTGGTGAATAGTGGTAACTTTTTAACTTTTTGAGTAACTTTTTGATTTTTTTTTTTTTTTTTCAACTTGCCAAACTTGGCCTTAATTCGCTTTTTATCCATAGGAAGAGGAGCTCAAGTTGGGGCAGATCAAATCTTCAGTAAGCCTTCCATTTCATTCATTTGTGGCCAGTGCAGAGCAGTCACAACTAGTTGTAAAAGAGCCTGCTAAAGTATTGGAAAGTATGCTTCACGAAGAACCTTCTTCCGTCAAAGCCACAAGCTCTAACTCGAATTATGTTATACTGATTGGCAATGACGCAAGTATGAATCATGATGAACCTTCTGCTTTTCCCCCCTCAAGCTCTAATTTGGATGATTTTATATTGATAGAAGATGACAAAAATGTTGAGGAAACAATAACTGGTGAAACCAAAAATGAACAGTTAGAGGACATAGAAGACAAAACTCTAGGGTCTGATCCTGAAATGAGCGAGGAAGATAATGAGACCATGTCTCTCTGCAATATATCCTCCAGCTTTCAGGAGTGTTTCAAGTCAACAAATCAAGCAAGTAAACCTAAGCAAGCAGAGAAGTCCAAAGAATCTGGTTGGTTTTCGCCTATGAAGCACGGGTACTTAAAAAATAATGTCGTACACGTATCGGGTACTTACCGGGTGCGGGTGTGGGTGCGGATACGGGTACCGGTACAACTGCACGAGTACCGGGTATGAAAAAAAGGAGTCTGATGCGTTTGGTTCAATTGGTTACGGCTTGGGTACGACATGGGTATGTCTTTGGTACGTTTCAGGTACGCTGGAGCAAAAATCAAAATTCCAGGAAAATTGAGGGGCACCGGAGCAATATTAAAAAAAAATTCAGAAAAAAAAAAAGGTATGGCCTAGGTTTTGCCCTAATCTCTTCACGTCAAAGAGGCGACCCATCCTTCGAAGGCCTCCGGCGACGGCGACTCCTTCGTCTTATATATTTTTTGTTTTGCAAATCAGCAAGCAACTGGTTTTGTTCCTTCTTGCATCTCTTCGTCTTCTCTCCTGTGAGAAACTGGTCAGAATTTTCGGGTGCCCCTGCGTATCAGCAAGCAACTGGTCAGCATTTTTTTCTTCATCTCCTTGTTTCTTCATCTCTTCGTCTTATATTTTTTCGTCTTCATCTTTTCTTTTTTTGTTTTTTTCTTCTTTCTTCTTTCTTCTTCAGAGGGGTAGAACCTGGTCAGAATGTATAGTAGAACCAAAAAAAAATTAGAACAAAAAAAATTAATAATCAATCATACTTACAGAATGTTAATAGTCAAAAAAAATTAATTAGAATAAAGTTATTCCTCAACAGAAGAATGTTAATCAAAAAAATTAATTAGAAGTTTAGAACAAAGTTATTCCTAAGCAGAATGTTAATAATCACAAATATTATTTTTTATGCTTATAGGAAAATGAGTTCATCAAGCGGGTTGGGTCCTTTAACCATAATAATAAATAAAATAAATAGAAAATGGGCGAACTGCAGGCGTACCCGTATCATACTTTTTTTGAGTTTTGTCGTATCGACGCACCCGCACTTGTACCTGTACCGTACTCATACCTGCACCTGTGGTTCATAGGTTTTTGCAGTTGAACCAATTTGATTATGAAGCTGCAAGGAAAGAGTTTAGGTTTGGGGAAGATCGGAAAGGGAAAAAGGGGGAAGAGGGCGATGAGGGTCATAGGAATAATAGTAGGCTTGATTAAGTGGATCGGAAAAAGAGTTCAGTTGCCTGTCATTCCCATAATGATGAACGAACTGGAGATTTTGCGCAGGGTAGAAGACGCCAGACTTTTCCAGCAACAGGGAACCGAAGTGCGACTTTTTGTAGCAGCAGGTCGTAGTTAGTTTCATGTTAATCACTCGTCAGAAAAAGAAAAAGGATCAGTATGTTTTGTTGATTCATTGTTGCAAAATGAAAATTGAAATCCTTTTTAAGACCTGTTGAGCAGTTTATGCACTTCAATGAATCAAAAGAATTTAAGCTTGTGCACTGGTAACCATTTAATTAGCGTTAATGGTCATAATGTTGCTTATGTGGAGATGAGAATTTTGTAGAGGCACTAAAGTTCTCTTGCCACGAGGCAGCTTGCATTTCTTGGATTCTGAAATTGAGATGTGGTGAAGCTGTTTCTTGTTTGAGTCCTCTGATGTCCATGTTTGATGACAGTTTTTCCAGTAGGCAAACAACCCAAAAAAACATATTGATTGGGTGTGGCATGCCAAACCCAATATGATATTTTTAAGGCTTGGTTGGGTTTGGTACTTGGGAAAATTGGCTTGAACACAATACCATGCCTACCCCTTCTTATATAAATATTTTTTGAGAAAGATATAAAGTAGATATATTAAAATAAAAGTAAACAACATACTGATCTAGAAAAATAATAAATAACAAAACTTGAAAAGGCTAAACAAACAACAAAAAAACAAAGCTGAAAAAAAAAAAAAAAAAAAAAAGGAAAACAAACGATGAAGGAAAAATCAACGATTTTCTCACTGATGTGGTTTGAAAAAGTAAGATTTGTATTAGACCCGCATTGCCACTAACCTTGTCATTGTCGCTGCTGCCACAGTACTTTGGTTGTTGTTAGAAGTTAGAGTTGAAGAGTAAGAGCACTCACAACAGTATGTATGAGAGGAGAATTGAGAGAAGATGGAAACATTGTAGATGTTGCAAAATGCAAAAATTTATGCTGAAATCAAAGGAGAAACTCTCAAACTCCTCTTGTTGGATATAAGCAATCCAGATCTACGCTTTGAAAGTGTTTTGGAACCTCGGCGGAGACACGTTAGAAAGTCATCGGAGGGATGCCGAAAATTACCTAGAGAGAGAGAGGCTCTCCAACGCTCCCTTTTGGGTCTTTCTCTTTCTTTTTCTTTTTTTTTCTCTTAATATTTTTTTTATACTTGTATTGGGTCGGTTTGGTTCTTGAAAACTTGATGATATATATATACTTTATGGATAATTTATGCTAGTTTCCTGGAGATTTTTTACTAATATATTAGTATTTATCATGTAATTTTAAAAATTATGTATCAATGTTTCAAATTATGTTAAAAAATAAATTGAAAATGCTAAGGTTATATATAATTTTTCAATTGATCATATCAATCTCTTAAAATACAAATGAGATTGAAAGTAGTCTAGTTCATTGCAAATATATTTTCACCAGAAAGCCCATTTTAGTCACTAATGATTAGGGGTGTTCGCGGATCAGTTTTGTGCGGTTTGCGGTTCGGTTTTGACCCGCCCGCATTTATGCGGTTTAGGAAAAAGTCAACCCGCAACCGCCCGCAGTGCGGTTTACGGTTTGTGCGGATAGGGTTTGTAAATGTGCGGGCGGTTGCGGGCGGTTTGCGGTTTACACTTTTTTCTTTAAAAATTAATTTTTAAGTTTTTTTTTTCCACCGAATTTAGGCATTAGATTCATTTTATATATTTGTGATCAATTGATAACAATTTTCTGATGAATTTACAAATAAAAATTGAATATCACTAGTATTTTTGTCATGAAAAAAATGTATATCAATACATTAAAGGTTGTACTCAATTAGAATTGTCAATTCAGTAATCAATAATCAAACTAGAAGCTTCATTGATCACCAGAAGAAAATTTTTATTAGAAAAAAGTGAATGAGACATCAATGAAAATCATATAAGAAACCAAGTTTAGGACTTGATAATTCTACGACATTAAGAAAGTTGAGAAATACTTAAAAATAAGGATCCTAGTGTCATAGAGAATATAATGGTGCTCCTGTTAAAGTTACAAAGTTGGTATATAAAAAATAATATTAATAATACTAATTAAAGTGCGGACGGTTTTTGCGGGTTGCGATTTTAACCCGCGACCCGCTCGCAACCCGCAAATTTGTCATATTTCAAACCGCATCCACCCGCATTATGTTTGCGAAACCGCCCATTTATATGCGGGTTGGGCGGTTTGAGCGGTTCGGATAAACCGTTGCCCACCCCTACTAATGATTTATTTTTATCGAAAAGTCAATCATATTCTTTATAATGAATTATTATTATGGGTAAAAAAAAATAATTTAAAGTTTTCTGTTAACAAGTCAAACACCAATGGAGGAAATTTACCACATATATATATATATTTTTTTATGTTTCTATATTTTAATATACAATGCCACGTTATAATAATAATTTTTTTTCTTCTAGTGATATCTTCATAGTTATAGTGGAATTTGGACTTCGACAATTTCATTATAAAAACAAATTTTCTAAAATTGTTTTGTAATGTGTATATATGTAAAAGAAAAAAAAAAATTTAATGTGTGATCATGGTTTCCATCAAAGTTTACTCCAGTTAGATTAGTTTAATTTCAACATATAAGTAATTCAATTTCAAGTTCAAAAATTTAGAACTGATCAAAGATTAGTTTGATTTTGGATTTGAGTGTAAAAAGAACCAACTCCTTTTTGGCTCACTTAGCCTTGTTGAAACAAATTGTTTATGTGCTGGTGTTCTATTTTGAGGGAGTAACTCATGAACCAAAATATGGAGAGAGAGAATTTTTATGAGAAAATAAGAGAAACAACCCCTTTGTTCCACCACCAACCACCTCCCACCAGTGGCAATTACATTTGACAGCCAATAATCAGTATTATTGTCAACTCATGAACCAAAATATGGAGAGAGAATTTTGATGAGAAAATAAGAGAAACCCTTTTGGTATCGCCAACCACCTCCTATCAGTGACAATCATATTTGGTGGCCAATAATCACTTTTGATCACCATCTCTAATTGTCTACAACCACCTTCCATTGGCCATCTGTTTCACTTATTTTTAAAATAAGTTTTTAAAACATGTTATTGTAACAAACATTAGAGGTGCTCATAGGTTAGGTTTAGGCGGATTGCATGTCATACACCACCCAACTAATTGGGGTTCAGGTTGAGAAAATCCGATTTATGGTTTCAAAATCGACCGAGTGAGTTGGGCAGATTGGCCAAAGGATACAGATCAGGTTAGTGGATTGAAGAAATCTTAATTTTACAAAAAAAAAAAAAAAAAAAAAAAAAAAAAAAAAAAAAAAAAAAAAAAATCTAATTTTTTAAACTGAACAATGAGGAGTAAAGGTTCTGCTTTTCTAAAATGTGAAAAGAATACCTTTGAAGTTTCAATACTTTATTTATGCACATATATAAATGTTTATAAGAATTCCTAATTCCATATGGTCAAGTCAGATTTCGCGAATTGAAATTTATAAATCTGCTATTCGATTGAAACTTGACTTCTTTAAAATTGTTAGATTTGCATTTGTTCGCTCGCTATATTAAAATTGCTCATTTGTGATAAGGTTGGACAGATTGATTAGATGTTTTCAAACATACTTATTCGTTATTTTTTGATTTACGACAAATGAATCTAAAATATTTTTAATATTTTTCTTATAAACTAAAATCAGTAAATGTAAACTTTACCAAACACACTTAAGTAAACAAAATGTGAAACTTTAATTTTCAATGGGCAATTTTCACTTAATCTTATGTTTTGGGTCGGGTGTGGATTATTCCTGACATTTGAAAATCACCATATAACTTTTACGTGATTTGTGGATCAAAGTGCACTGTCTACTTTTCCATTCAAATTAACAGGCTATGAAGTTCACACACCTATGAAGAGAGTAAACTATATTTTAAGACCAAAATACCTTTTACATATCTTTAAATTTATAAAAATTTGCCATTCTTCCTCGTCTCTCTACCATTTTGCCTTCTCACTATTTCTACTCCATTTTCTGTCTCTAATGTTAGAAAAGTAATTTTAATTTAATTATAATAATAATTATAATATATATACATATACATATATATTGCTATCATGGGTTAGAAGTTAGGAGAGAACAACAACAGAGAGTGTTTTTGTGTATGTAATTCAGGAATCAACAGCGGTGGTGGAATCAATGTTCACAGATTTATTGATGAATTCGTATTTGAATTGATCTCATTGTTCACAAATTTGTTTGTAGTATTTGTGTGTTGATTTAATTGTTTTGCTTGATTCATTTTGCCATTCTTCTTCCTCCTCTCTATACTCTCTCTCTATTCCCTCACTCTAACCCACTGTACTGTATCAATTTCCTCTTCCCCTAGTTTTTCTCTCACCAAACCCACTTCCACACACTTTTTGGTACGTAAGAAAAATGGAAAAAACTAACCAAACCAGTTATATTTGGTCTATTTTTTTAACAAGAATTAGTCTGTGTAGTTTTTAAATTTAATTTTTTTAAATTTTCGATTCGGTATCAGTTTAAGCGCCTTATGCACCGATCTAAATCAAAACCGATTGTTTCAACATATATTGTATTTATAATATATATATATATATATAATGATATTAATAAGTATAATAAATTATTAATCGTAATTAATTAACCTTATCATCTTTATAACTTAAGTTTGTAAACTCTTATTATATATAATTTTGACTCTAACTCCTTATTCTTAAAACCTTAGTATTTTTAAACATTTTTTTTATTTTTTATTTTTGTTAATTTAGAAATTAAAAAGTATATATTAAATGGATGGATTGGATATATTTAAAATGGTAGACAAATAACTAATTTAATAGTTTTATATAGATTAATGATTATATTTAAAAGTGGCTTAAGTTTGAAAAATTCTAAACTGATTAAACCGCACCAAACCGAACCGTTTCAATTAGTTTGGTTCAGTTCGGTACGGTTTGGTGGGAGCTTTTTGGTATGTAAGAAAAATGGAAAAAACCAACCAAACCAGTTATATTTGGTCTGTTTTTTTAACAAGAATCGGTCTGTGCAGTTTTTAAATTTGATTTTTTTGAATTTTCGGTTCGGTATCAGTTTAAGCACCTTATGCACCGATCTAAATCAAAACCGACTGCTTCAACATATATTGTATTTATAATATATATAATGATATTAATAAGTATAATAAATTATTAACCTTAATTAATTAATCTTATCATCTTTATAACTTAAGTTTGTAAACTCTTATTATATATAATTTTGACTCTAACTCATTATTCTTAAAACCTTAGTATTTTTAAACATTTTTTTTATTTTTTATTTTTGTTAATTTAGAAATTGAAAAGTATATATTAAATGGATGGATTGGATATGTTTGAAATGGTAGACAAATAACTAATTTAATATTTTTATATAGATTAATGATTATATTTAAAAGTGGCTCAAGTTTGAAAAATCCTAAACCGATTAAACCGCACCAAACCAAACCGTTTCAATTAGTTTGGTTCAGTTCGGTTCGGTTCGGTACGGTACGGTTTGGTGGGAGAAGCGGTCTGTATCAGTGTTCAAAATAATAAAACCAATATTATCAATTTAGTATAATTTTTTAATTAAATATCGACCGTACCGAACTGATTGCTTCCTTACCCACCTTAACACTGCCACACACCAACTGCAACCAATTTTAAATTGATGAGCACCATAAATTTAGGTCAATCTCAGCACAAAATTCTCTGTCCAAATATGATTATATAACAACCTAAAAAATTCATCTTTTGTAACAGTTATATACATATATATATATATATACATACTATATATAGTATATGAAGAGTTTATTCACAAAACCCATTAGGTGATCAAATCATTCAATTAATGAAAAGAGAATTGATAAAAGACATTTATATATATACAAATTGTTAAACTTGGGCAATCAATATATCGGGTAATGATTTATGTTTGTATCTTTATGTATAGAAATATACATATATAGTTTATATATATATTTGTAGGTTTAATTTAAAGAGAAAATATCAAGAAGATGAGAGTATAATGGTTAATTTACATGTTCTGTTAATAAAAGTTAACGTGCATATTAATTTACAAATCATGTGAAGGTTATGCACTGATTTTTAAATATATAATCCGCACCCAACTCAAAATATAGGATAACATTTTACCCATTTTCAAATTTTCATTTATTTGCAGTGACATGGCAAGATTATATTGCATTGATGATGTGGAGTGGAACATTGGTACCACCTTAAGATTAACGATTTGATTCTTAATTAGGAAACATATAAGTAATTATTAAAAAAATAATATAATATGTTACTTTATAAACTTTATATGTCAATTCTATTAATAGAAAAAAATAATATATAATAAAGTAATTTTTTGTGATGCTTTCATTTTTAATTAAAAATCTATTATTATTCTTATAAATTTTACAAATATACATTATTTTAGATATATTTTTTTATTGAGTTAATTATACTCTTCACCCTTGTAATTTGACCAAAATTTTAATTTAGTTTTTATAATTTTAATTTGAATAATTTAATCTTTACGCTTTAACTCTAGTTTCAATTTGACCATCCTGTCTAAATTTTTGTTAATTTTGTTTATGTGTACACCTTAGAAAATTGAAAAGTATTCTAAAATTGTTAATTTTAATCGTTAATTTAGACGAACAAGGCAAATTAAAATTAGATTTAAAGTGTAGAGATCAAATTGCTACGTAAAATTATCAAAAAAAAAGATTATTTTAATCATCAAACTCAATATAGATATATATATAAAATATTTAAAATACCTTTTTTTTTTTAATTGAGTTCAATGACTAAAATATTATTTTTTTTTAGGTCAATTTTACTTAATAAAAATAGACAAATTAATTTAGATTGAAAATAAATTAAAATTTAATATTTAACTTGACAAAATTAAAAGTCTAAGGTTTAATTTGTTACAAAAGTCAAATCTTATTTTTTTTAATTTATAATTTTCCCTAATTTTTTTTTGATGATTTTGTAATTAAGACCTCATTTGGAAATTAAGGGATTGTTTAGAAGAATTTAAATAAGTACATTGTTTAATATTTTATAAAAAGATATAAAAAAAAAATAGAAAAATGATATGAGCTGAATAAATATATTTATTTAATTTATGCTGACTAAATATTTTAATCAAAAAATAAAATAATCACTATAAATTATGACTAAATATTTTAATCAAAAAATAAAATAATCACTATAAATTATCACGGCACCATCATTATTTCGTTACATATATTTTTTTTTTAAATAAAAAACTAAATAAAATTACTGTGGTTCCTTGCCTAAGTTGTGAAATCAAGTAATTTGTCTTTGGCTATGGAAGGAGGTGGAGGTGGGACATTGTCGGAGTTATACCAGAGCTCGAAGAGGTTGCTATTGAGAACTAGGGACAGCCTCGAGAGGCTCGAGCGCCTCGAGTTCTCCTCCTCATCCAATGGTGCCGCCGTGGACTCCCCGGAGCTCTCTTTCGCAATCAAGCGTGACATCTCTCAGATCCAATCCCTCTGCACCGAGATGGACCGCCTCTGGCGTTCTGTCTCTGCCAAATCCCAGCGCGATCTCTGGAAAAGGTTGCAATTCTCTCCCTCTCTCGAAATCAACATTTTTTATTTGATCTGTATGTTATTTGTTTGATTAATTTGCGTTTTGATTGTTTTTCTGTTCCTAGGGTTTGAAATTAGTCTTGTATTGATGATATTCAGTAGGAAATGTTTTTGCAATTAATCTCAAATTTTTTTTTTTAAACTGATTTGTAATTTGGTTTCTCCGTCTCATGAATTTTAGGAACTGTGTAATTCTGTTGTATGTGTTTGTATGTACTAGAGGGTTATCACATGTCATGCGAGTGAGATGAAGCTTTGAAGAATAAACAAACAAAATATTGATAGCATAATTAGTATTAGATAAGAATATATCTAAATTATATAGGTTCGCCAACCCTAAGATTTTTTTTGAAAATCTAATACTCGCCTCCCTAAGATATTTTCATGTTTGTAGCCGAAAATCCGTAGTTATGCATGTGAAGAAAATCATTTAGAGCGAACATTTGAAAAATAAGAGGCTGCTAAAACTACTTCCATCAACTTGGATCTTCATTTTCAAGTTGTAATCTTCACACGCTACCTACGTGTATTTCTTTCTCTCTACCTCTCTATTATTGTTTTTGTTCTTATTTGTTTAAGTTCTACCCCGTCTCTTCTTATTCTTCTTTCATTTCAATTTTTTCTTCTTTCGGTTCTCTCTTCAACTCGATCTTTATTTTTGGTTTCCTCTTCATTTTCTCAATGCTTCTTTGAAAATTTCTTCTTTTGCATCCTTTCTTCCTCTTTCTTAATGCTATTTCAGATCTTAAGAATAGTTGCAAGTCTTTCAAAATTGAAGATATTTGCGAACTTATAAATAAATTTTTATCCCAATGACTTCACAAAGTAAGAAAATTGGATTTAAAATTTCAATTGCAAAACTATGTGATTAATATCCTTAAACATCCCCAATTTTAAAAGTTGTCAACAATTCGCATCGATCTATACATGAATTGTTAATCAAATTATGGAACGTAAGATTATGATAATAGATATTTGTTTGGATAAGGGTAAACTTGTCATTCTAGATGGATGACGTCATACATTTCCATCAATGTAATTGATGGGTCATTAATGGAGGGGCAGTTCCCATATATTGTCAGAAAGACTGAGGAGTTTTTAGTGTAATTTCAGAAATCATAGGGGGGCGCTATGTAATTGTTAGAAATCTCATGGCAGATCTGTATAATTATCCCAAGATAATATGATGTCAATGATGATGATCAATTTTATGTGCTTTCTATTTGGTATGATCTTTATTACTGCTGGGTTTGTTCACTACATTTTCTGAGTGTTACGTGTTCATTATGGGCGCCTTTTGGAGATGGTGGCTAGACTGTAGGATTATTTGTTTTCATTATTGCTTGACTTGTTTATTCATACTTGTAGTTATTCATCCTTTCGTATGCAATAAATTTGGTGGTGCCACTCTTTGGATTCTTTGGATAGTTGATGGAATTTGATTTTGTTCGTTTCTCTCGTAGCTTTTGACGAGTCAAAAATCCATTCCTCGATGTAGAGCCACTATAGTACATAAACCATTCACAAAATGATCATGATGTGGAGTTAAACTTAAAAAAAATTTTACTTGCTTATATAGAGGATTTGAATATGCAATCTTCAAGTCATGGGCTTGATGAGTCGACCAATTTCTCTACCTGTTGACTTGATTGGATTCCCCCATGTGTTGTAGTTTGGGTCTCGGGTGTGGAACACCCTTCCATGCCACATAATCCAATTGAATGGTTTCGTTTTTTACTCCAATCTTTACGCAATTGATTGGATTATATAGATACCCCTTCAACAAATATAGGTCATCGATACTATTAAGGGCATTTGGAACCTTCTTCTTTCTACATGATGCAATCAATTTTACCTTTTTATTGGGAAAAGGCTTGCCATCTAGAAAGATAGAAAGGAAAAGCGAAAGAATTGTATTTTGAATCTTTGATATGCAAGAGCTCCACTAAAAATGTAAATCAACACGACACACCTATACTAGATGTATAGCAAAAAAGGGTCGAGCCTAGTGTACAAGGCTCTCGCTTACAACAAAGTTTGAGAGAGGTAACAGGTAGGTAGTCTTCCCTCGATTTATTTGGGAGAGGTATGGGTAGGTAGCCGTCCCTCCATTTGTTTGTGGAGGGGCTGATTCCCATTACACAAACCGACACCATACTGCTGGGATATACAACTGACTGAAAGACACAAGGCTTAAGAATATAAAAAAACAAATTGGAGTAACTCTTTTAGGGAATTGGGTCCAAAACCAACTTTTTCTGTACGCAAGAAACCGGAGAAATTGCATACATAATCCCACTTCTACACAGCTGCAGATTCTGGAAAAGAATCTTGCCAAACATGATTCACCAAGGCCCTATCAATCCTACTCTTTTTATCCCCCAAACACCACTCCTACTAGACCATGTAAACCAAAATCCTTTGACAGTCAAATCATCAACTTCAATTGTATCTAAACAAGCATTAATCTCAGCAGCAGCCCTGCTATCAAACCCTTCGGAAGCAAATTTCTCATTAGGCCTTCTTATAACATTAAAATCACCCAATAAAATCTAAGAAACAGTGTTCGCCCTAGGATGTAGCTCCCTCAATCCAGACCAAAGCAGCCTCCTATCAGAAGTAGAATTCATACCATAAACCATAGAAACCACAAATACCTTCAAGGAAGTGGCATGCTCAACCTTGGAAGTAATGTGTTGCATAGAAGAGGAGAGCAAAGTGACATTAATCAACAGAGAATTTGAAGTAAAAATAACCCTAGCCACAACACCAAGCCCAATATTATGAAGGTAATCCCAATTGGAAGGCAAACAAGACTTACAAGTAATCGCCAAATTCTCCAACCTAACCTTAATTTCAACAAGACCCATTAGAGACAATTATGATCATGAATGAGCTTCCTAACGTCAAGCTGCTTAACGGGATCATTAAGACCCCTAATATTCCAAGAATCGATCATTAAGAACCCTAAAGGTTTCTGTAAAATCTAAACCTGCTTCTTGTTGACTGCCATTGGCTACTGATCTTGCCTTGTACCTGGATGTAGAGCCATCTGAATGCTTCTTAACTTTAAAATCCAATGACAAGGAATAACATTGCCTTGATACGGAGGTGGTACTAAAGTCCAAGTACCTTGTTTGATTAAAGCAGCAAACTCTTCTTGCATGGCAGAAATCCAAACCTGAGACTTAGATGCTTTGTGAAAAGGCTTGGGTTCAGTGGTTGGAAGAGAGGTAATAGAATGGAAGGAGACAGAAACCTTAGACTTGATGATGCCACGTTTAGACCTGGTCATCATGGGATGAGCAGAAATAGGAGGAATAGATGGAGGTGAATTCGAAATACACACAGGAGAGGAAGAGGAAACAACTGCAGAAGGAATATTAGACTGAAAAGTAGCAGTAGGAGAAGGAATAGTAGGCACGATATGTTGGAGAGAAGGATCACAAAGAGCTAAAGGAACAACAAAAGATTGAGAAATAGGAAAAGATTGAGAAAGAGGTGAAGATGGAGGAATAGATGAAGATTGGGAGATAAGTTCAGAGTAGGGAAAATCATGTTCTAAAAATTTGACATGTTGAGACACACAATCTTTATGTAGAAGGATCATAGCATCTATAACCTTTGGTAGTAGAACAATAACCAAAAAAAACACAGGGTTTAGACTTAGGAATGAGTTTATGAGAAGCATAAGGCTTAAGCCAAGGAAAACAACACCACCCAAAGGGCTTGAGAAAAGAATAATCGGGTGATTTCTGAAAAAGAAGATGAAATGGAACCTGAAAATTATTGGTAGAACAAGGGAGTCTATTAACAAGATATACAGCAGTCAGCAAAGCTTCCAACCAAAATTTGACAGGAAGAGTAGCATGATCTAAAAGAGTGATAGTTTTCTCAATCAAGTGTCTATGTTTGCGCTCAGCAGTACCATTTTGTTCAGGAGTATCGGGACATGAAGTTTGGTGAATAATACCAAAATGAGCAATCAAATGAGAAAGATAAGTGTTGACAAACTCTCCCCCGTTATCAGACCTGAAGGTCTTAATGAGTGCACCAGACTGAGTGTAAACAAAGGATTTAAAATCAGTAACAATACGTGAAACTTCAAACTTATAATGCATAGGAAAAAACCAAACAAACTTGGTATAGTCATCCATTATTAAGAGATAGTATTTTCATCCGCTAAAAGATTCAATAGCAGCAGGTACCCAAACATCCATATGCACTACTTCAAAAGGAGCAGAAGTAGAAGAATCAGAGGAAAGAAAAGGAAGCTTATGACTTTTAGCCTTAATATAACTGTAACAATCAAAATGAAATGATGAAATAGGCAAATGATACTGATTGACTAAAGACTGAAGCAAACCAGAACTTGGATGGCCAAGTTTTTGATGCCAGAGAAATGCATTTTGAGTTGCAGTATGCAAGACAGTAGGTGAAGCAGAGTTAAAACAAGTATGAAGGGGATACAGACCCTTGTGGCAAGGACCCTGAAGAAGAACCTGGTTGGTGTGAATATCCTGAATGAGAAATCCAGATGAGTCAGAAATGAGCCGACAGTGATTATCAGTAGCAAACTGATAGACAGAAAGCAAGTTATGAGAAATAGAAGGAACATGAAGCATTTGAGAGAGAAGAGAATTACCAGAAGGTGTGGGAAGGAGACCCTGACCAGAATGAGAGATAGGAAGACTGGAACCATTGCCAACAAGGATGCCATCAGTGCCCTCATAAGGCAACTGCACAGAAAGTTTAGACAAGTCATTAGTAACATGACTAGTAGCACCACTATCTAAATACCAAGTAGGATCCATTGGTGGTGAAGTGAACTGAGTAACATTGACCTGAGGAGGAGCATAATGTCTGTATGAAGGAGTATTGGAAAAAATGGATGATTGAGGCTGATAAACCGAGGCAGAAGATGGACTTGGACTGAACTGAGATGGGATGGAAACTGGAGAATAACTCAGATTCAGTCTGTGGAAACAATTTGCTGCAATATGATTAGTTCTGCCACAAATCTGACAAGACACCTTTTGACCTCCTGAAAACCAATTCCCTTGTGGACTAAAATTGGATAACAAGAGGAGGCCAATTTCCTAGTCTTGAACCCCTGTCTTTGTTCTTCTTAAATGCTCTTCCTCCTCTACCAGAGAAATGAAATTGTGAGACGAGGCCAGGCTGAAATTGATTCTGGTAAGACTGATTTTGATTTGAAGGAAATTGAGACTGATTTGGATTCTGATGAGACAGCAGCTGAGAAGAACTAGAAGAATTCTGATTATGAGTAGAAAGTAACACTGAAGTATGATCAAGTGGTGACTTAGACACAATCTGATCCTTATTAATGTGCATTTCCTCATCACCAAGAAGTGAAGCTAGCTCTTCAAAACGTATAGGCTCACTCGTGCCCTAATGGCAGTTTTGAGGGAATTAAACTCTGATGGTAAACCATTCAGAGCAATGAAAACTAGATTCTCTTCATCAACAGTACAATCAGCTACAGCAAGCTTCTGAGAATATTCTTTAAGAGAATCTATATACACATCCATTGTGGTACTTTTACAGAGATCAAATAGCTTCCGCTTAAGATCATGTTTGCGAGATCTAGACAAAGAAATAAATCGAGCCTCAAGTGTTTGCCAAACAAGATGAGTACTGGGCAGTCCCAAAACATGAGGTAACACAGATAAAGAGATTGTAGCAGTCACACAAGACAACAGATGACCATCAATCAATTTCCACATCAGAAAATCAGATTTGGAACACGATTTATAGTTGAATCAACAATCTCAGATTCAGGACATGAAATTGAACCATCTAGATATCCAAAATAACCACTTGGCTTAAGAGCATTTTGAATCCGCAATCTCCAAAGAATATAAGTAGTTGAATCTAGCTTGATTGTGACGAAGAAGTGAAAATTCGAAATAAGAAACACTAAATTTGCAGGTATGGTTACCACAGTGGAAGCCATTGATGATGAACTTGAAGATGAAGTTGAAAACGAAGTCTGCATTTGTGTGATGAATCTCTTCAATTCTTCGAATTATTGATTAGATCCAGGATCAAGATCTTTTTGATACAGGTCACAGGTTGCTGTGATACCATAAAGAAATAGAAGACCCAGGCACAATCAAGAGAGAGAAGAAAGAGGAGAGAGAAAAAAATGTAAATCAGTTTATTATATTTCCTCAATCAATCCCCAATGTACAGATTATCATTTATTTATATGAATCTCAATCTTCTAACCGACTCTTCTCCAGTTCCACTATCTACAAGTTACACTATCTAATACAGTTGCAAAACTAATCTACTCACTTAGCCAGCTCTGCAGCCACTAACCTAACCCTTCTCCTTAACAAACCATTCCCAAATCATTTGTAGATTCAAACTCCACTAAATGAGCAGCATCCAACACAACAAACTGATTGCGAGCCAAATCACAAGCTCTAGTCCCACCATCAGAAGGCAACCCAACCTCACCATTAGCAGCCTTAGATGATTCAGCTTTGGTAACAAACATATCCTCAGTACCCGGATGATCAGAGACATCCAAAACAACAACCTTAGGTTTAACCACCCAAACTTTCTCCTTAACTGCAACTGTGTCAGCAGGCCTTTTTGGGCAGGAAACCTCACCATGCCCAAACACCAAACATGTAGCACAATTAGATGGCTTCCAAGGATACCTCACCCCAATCTCAATATGACTTCCATTACCCACCATTAAATCAGTAGACTGGGGCAATTTAGCATGAACATCAATCTCAACACAAATACTAGCAAAACTAATTCTAGTACGAGATTCAGTCATATTATCAGCATAAAGAGGCCTCCTCACAGCACTAGTTATATAACTCGGACTCTGCTCAGTCCAAAACTCCAAAGGAATGTTATAGAACTCAGCCCAAATAGGAATTTTTGATAGCTGATCCTTCTCTGTATTCAGCAAACGTTCCCACTTCTTAAGAATAAAGAGTTTACCCCCAAAGTGCCAAGGACCTGAAACAAAAAGAAGAAAAACCCCTTGTCACTAGAAAGTAGGTTAACCAACCCAAATTTAGCTCATATCCACAGCAGGAAATGACAGCCTCTTATCAAGGAAATAACCAACAGCACAATTTTTCCATTTTTGCAATCCATATGCTTCCACCTCAGGTGGAGGAACAACCCTAATTCGATCCTCAGACTCAACAGGGGAAAAAAAACTGCAAATTCATATGAGATGTGGCCACATTATCCTTCATTGACATTGCCTTCCAAGGAGAAGAAGCAATAGGATCTATTACCTGATCAAGAGGGACCTTCCAAGGAGAAGAAACAATAGAATCTGAAACCTTCACACGAGAATCAGAAGGATTACAACTAGAAGAAACCTTACCAATGGCCAAAGCTCTGGTAGCTGGAGGACCTCAGATGATAACGTTTTGATCGATTTAGCACTAGGAACATCAGAATCAGCAACCCTAAGATGATCAGAGTTCGCCTTAGTTGCACCTTCCAGCACATCAAAGACATTGATATCAGACTGATGTTGAATATGAGAAGAAGCAGATCTCGACAATGGAGAATCAGATCGAGAAACACCACAAAGAGCATTCAAACTAGGAAAATCCAGAGCAGAAACACTATTAACAGCAAGCAGTGACATATTAGAGGAAGAAGAAACACAGAAAATTGAAATCAGTGAAGAAAATTGAAAAATCACTTTTCCTGCCAAAATCGCTTATCTGGGGACATTCTCTCTCTAAAAAGCACATACATATAAGTGGTGTGATTTTGCTGTTTCTTAATTGATAAATACATGAAAAGGCCCAATTTGCAAATGCATTTTGTCAACTTGCCGAACCTGCTAGTATGAAACCACTTCAAAACATTAACCATGACATTTGGCAGTTCTGCAGCACTTAATCTGCCAAGGGAGGGTTGGTTGGAGAAATTTATCCAATCTACTCTGTGCCCAACTGTGCACGACCATACCTTTCCCTTCATGGACTGATTTTACCTCTAACCTCACCTTCAAATATTTTAAACTCGTGTTTACATGCTTCTCTAACCACCACCAAAAGCATGACTGGTTAGTTCAAAATGAATTATATGGCATAATGGACTGACTGAATTCAAATGAGATGACTAGCACCCTATCCAAAAATTAACTTTTCTGCATTGTAAATGCATGCAAAGAAAGTGAAAGCATAAATTATTATGCTTTTCTTCACCTTAAATTGAAAGGTACAATTAGATGCAACCACTGCATGGGTTATTTTCATGCAAATGATGTCACCAAGCAAGTCTAAGCTTTAGGAGAGAAAAACCTAATAAAGTTACCTTTCACTTGCATGAATACACTAATTATAATTAGTTGGTTTCTTACGAAGTTATTTATTGTTTCCTTTGACAAGGATTTATAGTTCTTAGGAACTTGGCCTTATATTCTAACTGCTGTTACAATTTGATGGCTGTATACTGTTGCTCAATGCATTTATATTCTTTTGTTGACACAGGAAAGTTGAACAAGTTGCTGAAGAGGCTGACTCATTGAAAGAAAGTTTGGATAAGTACTTCTTACGGAATCAGAGACGGACACAAGAAGCTAGAGAGAGGGCTGAACTGCTTGAAAGAGCTGTGAGTGATATTTTATCTCTTTGATATATTTGGTTGTCAGTTTTTATCTGTTGGTCTTCACACATTATTAAACCTCACCATCTAATTTGTTTGCTATATGTTTCAGAATGGGGAATCATCTCATGTATTGAGAATTTTTGATGATGAAGCGCAAGCAATGCAATCTGCCCGTTCCTCAGCCAGAATGCTGGAAGAGTCTTATGCAACTGGAGTGGCCATTCTTTCCCAATATGCTGGCCAAAGGGAGCGTTTGAAGGTATCTGTAACAAAGCAATTGCTATACATGCACCACACTCGCACATATATTAATGAGTATCCGTTTTGATATTAATATCACAAGAACATCCAACTGTAGGGTCTGTATTTGTGTACTATTAATTGTCACAAAGAATCTAAAGGCTACAAACTCGCAAGAAGGTACTTCTTGGGATTGGAACCAACAATTTATCTTGTGGTTGAGTGGCTGTTTGTACACCTCCTTTACAAGGTTGAAAGCATGGGGGTAGGGAACCAAGGTGTCCAATGTAAATTTCTTCTGAATGATTTCTACAGTTTTTAAGTCGAAAGCTAATAAAAACTTTTGCATTAAAATGCAGCGTAAATATGGTTTGCTAATTCGGAATGCATCTAGTTCTCCACGTGCATAGTTAGTAAATGAAAGTTGGATCAATTTTTGTTTTTCAAAGATTATATTCAGTCTGTTGTAATGATTCTAAATTGTGGAATGGAGGCTGAGTGCATAATTCTCAAAACAATTTTATTTTTTATTTTTCCATACAAGTTGATTCATAGCATAAATTCAATTTTGTGAAGCTAAACTAAAATTTTAAGTTCTGGAAGGGAGTTTTGAGCTAGGAAAATGATGGCCCAATTCTGGAGGGTATTTTTATGCTTTATATTCTTTAGTTTTGCTGGTGCTCTTTGATCTGTAGAAGCTTGGTTTTGTTTTGAGTTTGTTCTGTTTGTTCTATTGCCTTGGAGCTATCAACTCTGAACCATGTTTGGGAAAGGATTTTTTTAGCTTTTTGGGCTAAAATCCACAAAAAAGACAAAATAGGCTAAAATAGCCAATAAGATAAAATGTCACGTCAAACCTATAATCATTGCACTTTTTCTTTCACAAACATCACATCCAATTACAAAAAAAATCTAACCCTCTTCCTAAACACAAATATTTTAGCCTATTAAAATAGCCTTTTAAAATAGCTAACTTTCCAAACGAGGCCTTTATATCTAGCCTTTTACCCTAATATCCTTGTCACATTCTGGTAATGCTTCAAGCTCTTGATGCACTTTCGTGAAGCACTTTTTATGACATGTTCTCTTTACTGCTGGTGACTTTGTTGTCTTCCTCTGCTGCTGATTCAGGGTTATGTTAGATTATTTTTATCAAAAAGTCTATGCACACAGACAATAGCTGACAAAATGTTCAACAGCTATAGATGTGAACATTCGGGTCACATCTATGTCCCATTCTGTGCGAAATTCTTTCTGTGAGCATAGCATAGCTGTGTTTCTATTGCTACCTGTTTTCCTTCTCCTGTGTGCCTTGCTGTTATAGATGGTGAAGATGAATGGTATCCACTCCCTTTGTTTTTAGTTTAAGGCTGTGTTTGGATTCTTCACTTTTCCTTCCCTTTTTCTTTGAACAGTCTTACAAGTTTTTATAGAATTACATGCTGAAGAATGGCAGGAAGAGTTGGTTTTGTCCCGTGTTCTGCAGTGATGTTTCTGCGTTATGGCACTTGTTACTGCATTCAGTTCAGTGAATGAATTGGATGTTAAACACCTGACTAATGTAAACTTGTATTTTTGGGTGCAGGGAGCACAACGAAAGGCACTGGATGTACTCAACACAATCGGATTATCAAATTCTGTGTTAAGGGTGATTGAGAGGCGTCTTCGGGTTGATACATGGATTAAATACGTCGGCATGGCTTTGACAATCATCATCATGATTGCCTTGTGGAGGTGGAAACAACAGTAGTAGTCCTTGTGATTCATGTCTGTTCTTTTTGAAAGGTTAATGAGGCTGTGAGATGCATTTTAATTGACAGGGATACCATACATAGCACATCATCCACTATGGGTGGTGGTGGATCTTATGATGACACATTCATAGACAACAACGGCTTGCATGGGGAGTTGATCCATAAGATAATTAATTGAGAGATATAATAATCAACTTTGTGAAATCAAAAGTGGTGTATACAGAAGCAATAGTTTCATACATGTTCATTTTCATTTTCATTTACATTTACAATGCTAATGGTATTATTATTGTTTTTGTAATTTTGAGTTACAGTAAAAGAATTATAAAAATGCATATATCATTGTGTAAAATTGTAAATGGGCCGGGCTGAGTTGAGTTTTGCGATACTCATGCTTGGCTCATTTGTTTATCGAGTTTGAAAATTCTGCTCGTGTGTAGTTCGAAAGCTCATTTGCTTGTTAACACTAATCAAGCTCTAGCTCGGATTGAAATTTGATAATTTATTATTATTGTTTATATTATTTAAATAAATAATAAATGAGCTTGATTTATTTGAACTTGAACTCAATTCGTTTATTAATTGAACTAAGCCAAGCTCATGAATAGTTTCAATTTATTTACAATTTTAATTGTGTGCAATTGTTTTATACAATTTGTTTTATTGACAAATTTATTTGTAGTTTTTACTATTTTTCCAAGCAAAACAAAAGTTTGAATTTATTTTTACAATTATGTAAAGTGAACAGTTATGTTGATGTGACTACTTTTTTTGCTTTTTAAAAAAAATTTACAACAATTGATAAGTATGAAAATTTGTCGTATGAAAATATCAATCTGACTTAGATATTTAAAACTCTTGAAACATATGCTGTTTTTATTCATCTTTTTTATTTATAAACTGTAAACTTTTGCACACATGATCATAAAATAAATATTAATTATAAAGTAAATATTTTATTAGATTATATGTACATTTCCTTTTTATGTGACATGTTTTTTATCTCACATAATTACAGTGAGTTTGAGCTTAACATGTCTTGATCATGTGATGATCAAGTGAAGTTCCAAGCAATCCATCAACTCTAACACTTTTGGGTAGTAATTTGTGGAGGAAAATAAAAATAAAAAAAAAATGCAAATTATTTTTCTTCTTCTATATTTTATCTATAAATCATTATTCAAATCTTAGATATAAATCCAATCTTTAAAAAAAAAAATCTTCAATACAAGCACAACTAAGAGATTTTAGATAAGAAATTTTAAAATTATTTTAGGAATCACTTAACTTCATCATAAGAGCATCCCAACAGTTTACTTAAATTTTATCTTAAAATATTAATAAAAAATTCATTCTCTATTTTAAGAATCACTTTTTCATTTACTTTTCCCATCAAACTCCTTATTCTTTCTCTATTTTATTAAAATAATCTTTTCAATTGCTTTTAAATTTGAATACTTTTTTAATAATAAAATAATGAATGAGAAAAATAATATTTTCTGGTATATTGAGTAGAGGAAGAAGAATGTTTTATGAAGGAAGAAGAATACACACCACCACAAGTGTATTGAAGGAATACACTGTGTGTATTCTCAATCACCACTGTATTCTCAATCACCACAGTGTGTATCCTTAGCCTCTAAATCACCGCTGAATCGAACACAGTGTGTATCCTCTATTTCAATATATTGAAGGAAGAAGAATACCAGAAAATGCGTAACCTTCTCAAACGAAGAATACCAGAACACAGTGTGAAGAATATCAGAAGAAGAATACTGTTATATTAAATAGAGGTCATCTGACCGGACTTTCGGCCGGTCAATCCCGTGAACATCCAGCCCCTTGTCTGGCCTGCTGTGTTCGTGCCTTCAACGAAATAAAATATGAATTTATCATATATGAGGAAGCTACAGTGATTCCGTACAAATAAGGAGTCGCTGCAGCAATTCTCAATTTAAGGAATCATATAAGGGATCTGATGGAGTTGGATTTTTGAAGAATCAATCTCTTATAATAGCAAAAAGTTATTTTAAAGCATCTGTTGGGAATGCTCTAAAATACAATATTGTATTATAAAAATAAAATTATATCTCACACGAACTACTATAAATTATTTAATTAACTTTATTATTTGAATCATGATAAAAAAAAAGAATAATTGGTGATAAGTTAATTTTTATGGGAATATAACATTTAGTTCAATAGTTAATCCTTTATGAAAATAAGTATGTGATTAATAAAATTGTTTGGCGAGAAAGACATTATTATTTTGAAAATTTTCTTCTTCTCACTTTTATCTCATTGTTGCTAGATCATTGTCAAACTACTACTGCTGTCAAAAAAGTTACCTAAAAATTCACCGATAGTGGTGATTGTTAGTGATAGTAATATGGACAAATAGACAGATTAAGTAGACAAAAAAGTAACATATGAATAAATAAGAGATTACACATGTGACGAAAATAGATAGGTGGGCAGATAGGTGATATGAATAAATAGGTAGTTAGTAGACAAACATGTAGAGATAATATAATGTTTTCAAACTATTTTATCATTCTAACCCTTAAAAAATAAACTTTAACACTATTGCTTTAAAAATTTTAAAATTAGACGTATGTCTCGAAATTTTTTAAAAAACTGCATATTTTTTAATATATATTTTTATGTACAAAATTTTAAACTGCTTTTTAACAGATATTTTGGGGAGTTGCCAAGGGAACAAGGTGTACACGTGTAAAGACGAGGAGGCGATCACTTAGAAGTGAGGAAAGCCAAGTAGTCCACGTGAGTGACACGTGAAGATCAGCTCTATGTGAAATGTCTGAACTACCCTTGTCTCTAATCACAATGTTCTGGAATTGACCTGCTCTCGCTTTACCTTCCTTAAAACCACAGCTGGCACTTTGCTTCCCAACAGCTAAAGTTCTTTCAATCAAAAAAAAAAAAAAAAAAAAAAGAACCCTCTTCCCCTCTCCAAGGCACTATTTTGAGTTAGGCCTCGTTCCCCCGTATGAAGTAACCCTTCCCTTGCAATTCCCCTCTCCCTCGCCTTCCATGTATGTTTCTATCCCTCACCTAATTTTCTTACCCTTTCCATCGAAATACAAAAAAAAAAAAAAAAAAAGCCCTCTTCCCTTGGCTAAGGCACAATTTTGAGTTAGGCCTCTTTTCTTCGCATGAAGTAACCTTTCCCTCACAATATCCCCTCTCCCTCGCCTTCCAGGTATGTTTTTATCCCTTGCCTAATTTTCTAACCCTTTTCATCGAAATACAAAGATAAAAAATATAAAAAAAAAAAGCCCTTTTCCCCTCGCTAAGGCTCTATGTTGAGATACGCCTATTTCCCTCACATGAAGTAAACCTTCCCTCGTAATTTCCCTTCTCCCTCACCTTCCAGGTATGTTTCTATTCGTTGCCTAATTTTTCTAACACTTTCCATCAAAAAAAATAGAAAAAAATTCCCTCTTCACTCGCTAAGGCACTATTTTGAGTTAGGCCTCTTTCCGTCGCATGAAGTAACCCTTCCCTCGCAAATCCCCCTCTCCCTCACATTCCAGGTATGTTTCTATCTCTCGCCCAATTTTTCTAACCCTTTCTATCGAAAAAAAAAAGCCCTATTTTCCTCGCTAAGGCACTATTTTGAGTGAGTCCTCTTTCCGTCGCATGAAGTAACCCTTCCCTCGCAAATCCCCCTCTCCCTCATCACCTACATATATATAGAGGGGTGAGTACAAAACTCAGTGAATGGTACTAAAGATAAAGGTTTTGCATGAATATAGCCGGAGTCCTTTTAAATACTCGCACTGCACTTCGATTCATAGGAGTAGCTTCAAGTAGATTCAAGTAGATTGCTGTTGTAAACCTCTCCGAGGCTGAGTTCGGACTATTGTAAGTGTTCATTTTTATGAAATACTTCAATTGTTCTTCATATTACTGTTATTTCTCTTAATTTCTCCTAAGTCAAGCCACCAGTAAAAGTCCTCTTCATTGAGGCTGAAAAGAACTAAAACACAATCGTCTGATAATTGGTTGGCAATTATAATTTCTGTAAGGACTGATTGATCCTTGCTGGCACGCTCACATTCACAAAAATACCCTTCGAAAAGCCAAAAAGCCAACAGTTTTCAATAACTATGTTAATCTTTCACGAGAAGGGTTGATTTGATGGATGAATCGCTCTTTTACTAGGTGATATATTCAGGTTGGTTTGGGATGTTTTAAAAAAGTATATTTTTTGATTTATTTGTTTATATGAATTGAGTTTGAGTTGGGTTTAATGTGATGTGTTAGAGAAGTAATGTGATTTAAATAAGATGATGCGACTTAAATAAGATAGTGACTTTTAATCTTTTGTATTATTTAGGTCATGCCAAACTTGGCCTCAGATTTAAGTCTCATTCAGTGTGTTTGATTTGAGTTTTCTGAATTAAGTTTTTTGAAAATTGAATTTTTTGGTTTTCGTATTCTTTTGTTTTTAGTGCATATTTTTTAAATTTTAAACATTTTTTTTTTTACTTTTTTAGATGCACCTTAGTTAGATGTATCTAAAAAGTAAAAAATTTGTGAAAAAATATTTTAAAAAATTAATAAATACATAGAAATACAAAAAATATACTGAATTTTTGTATTTTTTTATATTTTTAGTATTTAGTGAATTTTAAAAAAAAATTTACAATTTTTTTACTTTTTAGGTGTATTTATGTTAGGTGTGTCTAAAAAGTAAAATAATTGCTTAAAATATTTAAAAAATTCAGTAAAAATAAAAATATATGAAAAATAAGAAAGTAGAATTTTCTGAAAAATGAAAACAAGCAAGCTAATTATTGTTGTAATTTTGCTTTCTCTTATTTTTATCTTATTTGACTGTTTAAAAAAAAAAAGGTGAATAACACTAATAGTCCTTATAGTTTAAGACTTGTGTCATTTTGGTTCCTGACTTTTCAATTGTAACACATTTGATTTTTAGTATTTAGTGAATTTTAAAAAAAAATTTACAATTTTTTTACTTTTTAGGTGTATTTATGTTAGGTGTGTCTAAAAAGTAAAATAATTGCTTAAAATATTAAAAAAATTCAGTAAAAATAAAAAAATATGAAAAATAAGAAAGTAGAATTTTCTGAAAAATGAAAACAAGCAAACTGATTATTGTTGTAATTTTGCTTTCTCTTATTTTTATCTTATTTGACTGTTTAAAAAAAAAAAGGTGAATAACACTAATAGTCCTTATAGTTTAAGACTTGTGTCATTTTGGTTCCTGACTTTTCAATTGTAACACATTTGACCATGAATTTTGATTCTTGTTCCAAATAAAAAAATTTGAAGATATCATTAGATTTTTCAATGGTAAAATCGTCAATTTGATAAAATATAAACTAATTTGACAAATAAATGTCAACCAAATATTTTTGAATTTTTAAAAATTATTTCTACCAACTAAAAATAAAATTATATA